ACACATCCCAGGAACCCCGTAAACGGTCCAAGCCACCAGCGGTAGGCGTTCCTCTAACATCAACAGATGTGGATTCCCTTGAGGATCCCGTAGGAGAAACCTGGAGACAGGGAGTTGTAGAGGATCTTTGCATGACAACTCCAGCAAGAGAGGGAACTATGGTTGACTCCTCCAAAGTGGTGTAACCAGGAGCAGCGATACCCCCAGAAGCTTGGTCCGATGCAACGTCCGAAGTATCATGGAGAAAGGGGAAAAAGCATATGCCCCAGAGGGAGGCCAGTCTTGGAGAAACGCGTCCGCCACCTCACTGAGGGGATCCGGAAGCCAACTAAAGGACAATTCTGTTTGAAGATTCACCCGAAAAGATGCAGATGAAGCGGGCCTCGAAGTGAGTGCAACAATCAAAATACTGGAGGGTGGAGTTGCCAATCGCTGGCGTCTCTCCAGTGGCGGTGGAACCAGTCTGCTACTTGATTGTCCTGTCCTGGGAGGTATTCGACCACGAGAGACCAGTTCCTGTCCAGACAGTATTGATAGAGATCCTTCATAAGGTCTGACAGTAGTTTGGAACGGGAACCTCCCAACCAGTTTATGTAGTGGACCGCCGAGACGTTGTCCATGCGGAGAAGCTGCAAATGGCGAACCATCCTGCAATCGGTTCCAGACAGTTGATGTGAAGGGGTCTCTCCTCTGGAATCCAGAGTCCTCCTGTCGCCATGCCATCGCAAGCAGCACCCCAGCCCAAACAGCTGGTGTCTGATTCCAGGACGAAGTCCGGTTGAGATCCGAAAATCAGCTTGCCATTCCAGGCCTCCATATGTCGAAGCCACCAATAAAGTTCCAGACAAGCTTCATCTGAGAGCCACACAACCTTGTCGTACGAGGTTAAAGACCTGAGGTAGCGAGCTTTCAAGCGTTGGAGAGCCCGATAGTGCAGAGGACCGGGTAGATAGCTTCAATGGAGGATGACAGCAGGCCTATCGTCTGGGCCAGATCCCTCAGTGTGACCCCCGGGTTGCGGAGCAGGCGTCTGATATCTTTCCTGATGGCGATAACCTTGGGCACCGGAAGGCGGAGCACCGCCTGAACCGAATCCACCATGAAACCTAGAAACTGGACCAACCAAGAGGGGTTCAGTTCCGATTTTTCCACGTTGATGACAAATCCCAGGTCCTGAAGCAGATGTATCGTGAACGATGTCTGATGATGCAGGATGACCTGAGCCACGTGAGGATATTTATGGGGTGATACATATTAAAAAATAATAATTTTATAAAAATTATCAAAAATGTATTTAATGATTTTATTATATCAAAAATGTATATATTGGCACTCTTCTCCTTGATTATTTAAATTAAAGCTGAGAATTACCCACTGTTTTTAATTCTCATTCTCATAGATCTTGGAGTACGTATTATTAGAGGATTATTTATTTCACACATTAGTCACAAACTAATTATAAAAATATAATTTATTGTGACAATAATATTAATAATATGTAACATGCGTAATAATATTGAGTGAATAATTAGGTTTAACATATGTATACAATATGGCAGTGGTTTAACACAATTTACAGGCAGCTAAATAGCAACATTATATCTACATGTATGCAGTTTTCAACAAGATTTATGATAGGACTCTTCAATTTGAAATCAGCTTGCTAAACATTCCTTAACACAGATCACAGCATCTCACCACAGCACAGCGTAAAGCAATAAAAACTTTGGCTGACAGTCAAATCACACTGAATTAACTCATTCACTGCAGGCTACAATTCTCATAGGCAAGATATCCTTTTTTTATTGCAATTTTACTAATACAATATTTCTCATACCAGATCATTTGACCATTCCTATGTCCATCCAATAAGAATAATTCTAACAAGATTTTTACCCTATGCAGAATTTTAACATCCCTAGTTAAAGATGACTATCCCTAATCCAGATAAGTCAATATCTCTGGGCAAAGTTCAGTATTCTAAATGTTGACAAATTACCAGCGAATATATTGTTTAATTATTCTACCTGCAGGAATGGAATTTTTATAACCGTATATTTCTTAGCTAATTATGATTTATACTAATTGAAATCTGACCAGCCTTTACCAGATATATATTCCTGCTGTTGGTAATAAATAATTAATTTAATTATATTAAATAAAACCAGCATAATTACCAGTTATGTTGTAGACTTTCTATCAGACTTGAAGATATGTCCCAGGAATTGTGAATGCAAGTATGCTGAGAATTGTGGGAAATAGGAAAGTATTTAGAGTTCTGAATTTTAAAGAATTTCAAAGTTAAGTGTTAGTTGGAAAGACACAAAGAGTTAGGTGTTCCAGCTTTGGCTCCAGATGTCAGCTCTTAGAAGTTAGCCCTCAGATGTTAGGTGTGAGTCCATCCCCAGAGAGTGTCTTTTTCTCCTTTTTTAATTTTTAAAGGAGAAGTTCTCTATACGTCACCAGTTGACAGTGACCTATAGAGTAAGGTGGGCATGTCTTCCCTACAGACTATCATATTGATTTTGGTCAGTAGATGTCGCAATTACATCACAGAAAATTCTTGTCAGGGGGTCCATACACCTTTTTGTATAATGGGTTTTACTGAATTTGGTGATGCGTTTGACGTCACAAGTCTTAATCTTTATGATGTCCATCTATTAAAAAGCTGTCACACTTCAAAGATTTTTGGTTGGATATAAATCACTGGTAAGACCACACCTTGAATATGCTGTGCAATTTTGGGTGCCTGTTCTAAAGAAGGATATCATGGCACTGGAGAGGGTCCAGAGACGAGCTACAAAATTGATAAAAGGAATGGAGCATTTTAGTTATGAAGAAAGGTTAAAAAAATTAAATCTGTTTAGTTTGGAAAAACGGCGCCTGAGAGGGGATATGATAACTTTATACAAATATATTCGGGGCCAGTACAAACCTTTATCTGGAAATCTATTCATAAACAGGGCTATACATAGGACACGAGGTCACACATTTAGGCTGGAAGAAAGGAGATTTCATCTAAGGCAAAGAAAAGTTTTTTTTACAGTAAGAACAATAAGGATATAGAATTCTCTGCCTGAAGAGGTGGTTTTGTCAGAGTCCATACAGATGTTTACACTGAAATTGGATAAATACTTACAAAAACATAGCATACAGGGATATAATTTCTAATTAGTGGGGTAATAGCTGCTTGATCCAAGGAGACATCTGACTGCTATTTTGGGGTCAAGAAGGAATTGTTTCCTACTTTGTGGCAAAATTGGAAGCGCTTCAGAACAGGTTTTTTGCCTTCTTTTGGATAAACAGCAACAACATTTGTGAGGAAGGCTGAACTTGATGGACACAAGTCTCTTTTCAGCTATGTAACTATGTAACTATGTAACCAGACTTGTGTCTGCAATTTTGGCTATACGTTAGATTTCTGACACGTCCTAAACTCTTTTTCACCTCTCTATACAATAGAACTTTGTAAGATTCCGTTTTTAAATAGTAAAATTAATTACTTAGTGTTATCGGTCATTGGTAATCCTGTGTCTGTTTTTCTTGTGCGAAACTGTGTGTAGCACATAGTAATGTTACACATGTGATTTATTCATGTCTATTACACATATTCCACTAACATTAGTAAATAATATGACATTTCTTCATTGATATTATATCCATGAATATTCTATATTAACTTAATACTATTTGTATATGATTAATATAATTATAGTTAGTTATATGTGGATAGTGTGTGAATATATACACACACACACACATATATATATATATATATATATATATATATATATCTACATGTCTCTGGGTAGTTGCATTCAACCCTCCTTGCTGCAGACATCATGTCTTATCTCTGCCAATGTTTACATTAGCTGCATTCCTTGGCTCAGTGTGAATGAGTGGATAGAAACAAAAATGTGCTTCACTTCTGTTCTGATGGTGACTTACAGTATACACTTTTAATTTCTGTCTTAACACAACATGTCTGCCAGTATAAATTTACTGACAGCCATCAAAGAATATCTTTTAGATAGACAATCTATCTGATCCCCCTGGCTCTCATGTCTGGTTTCAGCAGCTTGGTGAAGCACCAAGGAGCTGAGCTGAGGCCGAATGGAAGGCATATGAATTGCCAGATGTGTTCCAGCCAGGAAAACTGAAGGAACCACCTGTCCTCACAGTGAATAGGGACCATGAGGTAGGCGTCCTTTAGATCCAATCGAACTAACCAATCGCCCTCGCGGAGCAGATCCCTGAGCAGATGGATGGCTTTATTTCACATGGTAGCTCTGTTTGGAATAGAAATAAACTGTACAAAAAAGATGGTTTGCATCTTTCTCAAAAATGAACAAATGTTCTCAGTGAGCAGTTCAGAGGTTTTGCTAGGATGTATTTAAACTAGGAGGGGGGGTGAGGCAAAAGGGTGATAACACATCAATCCATTTGGCCACCCAAAACAAGGACAGAAGGTGCCTGTAGCAAGTGTGTTAAAAAATGATAAACTTAGAGTCATATATACAAATGCTCGCAGTTTAGGGAATAAGATCCATGAACTTGTGGCAATAATGGCAACTGATAATGTAGATGTAGTCGCTGTTACTGAGACATGGTATAATGAGAATAATGACTGGGACATAGCAATACCAGGGTACTCTTTATATAGAAAAGACAGGGAAGGCAAGAAAGGTGGAGGGGTGGCCCTGTATGTGTAGGATAGCATAAAATCTAGCCTAATAAAAGTTAGTGAGGTGAACATAGAGTCCGTTAGAATTTGGTAATCACACAGTAACTTGTGTAGATGTGATTTATAGACCCCCAGGACAAATAGAAGAGTTAGATAATCTACTAGTTGAAGAATTAGCTAAAATTACAATAAAGGGAGAAGTTATCATCATGGGTGACTTTTACCTTCCTGATAGTAAGGAGAAAAGGAGGGTTGCACTCAATCACAAGGCTTAGCACAGTGTGCGCTTAGCATGGGTCAGCAAACCCCAAACAATCTGTATAAATGAAAAAAATCTCAGACACTCACTGTGATCACTTCCAGGCAGTTTATTGCAACGTTTCGACCTGAAACCAGGTATTTATCAAGCTTGATAAAAACCTGGTTTCAGGTTGAAACATTGCAATAAACTGCCTGGTAGTGATCACAGTGAGTGCCTGAGATTTTTTTCATTTATTCTTCCCGATGTGAATTGGAAAACCAAAATAGCTGATTGTGCTAGGAGCACACATTCTAAACTCCCTACTGGGATTGTCTCTAAAACAAGTTGTTGAGGAGCCAACTTGTAAGGAGGCACTACTAGATTTAGTGTTAACAAATGGAGATTTGGTATCAGATATTACTGTAGGTGAAAGTTTAGGATCCAGTGATCATCAGTCAGTGTGGTTTAATATAAGAAGAGTGACTGAGTCACACCACACAAAAACAAAAGTTTTAGACTTTAGAAAAACAGACTTTTCTAAAATTAGAATATGTGTAAAAGAGTCATTATCAGACTGGAGCAATTTAGATGGAGTCCAAGATAAATGGCATTATTTAAAAAAGTTGCACTGCTGAAGGCAACATACAATTGCATTAAGCTTGTCAGTAAAAGCAAATATTTCAAGAAACCACTGTGGTACTCCGCAGATGTGGCCAAAATAGTACAAACCAAAAAGTTAGCATTTAGTAATTATAAAAAAACCCAGAGTGAGGAAGACAGAATGATCTTAGGCAGAAAGAGGTTAAGCAAGTTATTATAAGAGCTTTCAAATCTCACACAGAAGAGAAAATAGCACAGTCAGTAAAAAAAAGGGGACAAAACATTTTCTTTAGATAATTAGAAAAGGAAAGTAAAACAAGGATTAGTTAGTTTAAAAACAAAAGAAGGAAGGTATGTAGAAAAGGATAAAGGTCTAGCTGACTGCCTCAATGAATATTTTTGTTCAGTATTTACAGATGAAAATGAAGGAAAGGGGCCTCAGTTAGGAAAAAGGACAAATGAGTCACATGTGAGTTTACAGAAGAAGAGGTTCTATTTCAACTGTCAAAATAAATAAGTCGATGGGACCTGATGGAATACACCCAAAGTTATTAAAAGAGCTTAGTGGTGTACTAGCAAAACCATTAACAGATTTATTTAACCAATCATTGTTAACAGGAGTAGTCCCAGAAGATTGTAAGTTAGCAAGTGTTGTGCCCATTCACAAGAAAGGTAGTAGGGAGGAGTCAGACAACTATAGGCCAGTAAGCCTTACTTCAGTAGTGGGGAAAGTAATGGAAACCATGTTAAAGGATCGGATTGTTGAACATCTAAAAACACATGGATTTCAAGATCAGAGACAACATGGGTTTACTTCAGGGAGATCATGCCAAACTAATCTTATTGATTTTTTGGATTGGGTAACTAAAATAATATATCAGGGCGGTGCAGTAGACATTGCTTACCTAGATTTCAGTAAGGCTTTTGACACTGTTGCACATAGAAGGCTTATCAATAAACTGCAATCTTTAAGTTTGGATTCCAATTGAAGGATAGAATATCCATTTTACTATTATTTTACTGGTTATATTAAAGGTTAATTTGAAACTTGAAATGGCTGCTTGCTATTACACAATGTTCTTATTATTGTCCACATCTTTGGTATTTGTAACATCTGGCTTTAATCAAATATACTTGTGTAATTCAACATCGTATATAACAGTAAACAGCTGCTTATATCTTGTGATAAACAACTGTTATGCAACTCTTATGCAATTGTCACACCCATATACTCATACCTCCCCCCACCATGAAAGATATGTATAAATATAATTTGCATTCAATAAAAGGACGAATTGGTTTGGAAAACTATGTCTCTGTCTTCTTAACTGGTTCCCGGAATTCTGGAGAGGGAGGGGGGCGGTCTGCATCCATTAACCAGAGGGTCTTTGTCCCGTGCATAGCTGATTTTTCCCCAACAAGTTGGTGTTAGAAGTGGGATGCAACTGGAGATGGAAAAAAGGTAAGAGAATCGTGTCTTTCAGACATTCATTCCCTTCCTTTTTGCTCCCATCCTCCACATGTTGCATTCTTTATTTAAAGGGGACTGCATAGGCTAAGGTAGACTTAAGGGACATTTCATAGCTGCTGTCTTTGGGAGACAGTCCCTCCTTTGGTAGACTATAAAAAAGTAATATGCCTTTGGGAGGCTACAATGTAATATTGCCTTTGGTAGGCTAAAAGGTAAAAAGTAAAAGGGAATTGTTTTAACCCTGTACTTGATGGATGGATAGCCCTACTCCCAACCTTTTATTGTGTCTGCTTGCTTGCTTGTGATATTTTACCGTATAGCTCCTGTTCTATTCTTATGTACCTTGACACCTCTGATTTTAAGCATAAAGCTCGAGGAAAGGGGACAGTTTGTGGGACCATATGTGTTCCAAACAGCTGCCCCAATCTCCTGAATAATCATTGTTGTCAAGTGATTGGAATTTCTGGTTTTAAGCACTCCAGCTCATGGAGAAGTGGCAGACCTGGTCGGAACCTTGATTCCAAGACAGCTGTCCTTCATCACTGATTAACCAGCAATTCCAAGTCCAGTGCTAATTGCCAGTGAGTCCGAAATGAGTACTTCCCAGTCTAAAATATATCCCCTGCCTAACCCAGAGGTAAAGTGCAAACAGCATGTTGCCAGGGCTGGAAAACTAGGGTCTTCTTTAGTGGATCCTTGGGTTCCTGGGGTAGATATCATGTTAGGGTGGACAGAAGGACAGGGTAGTGAAAGCCCCTTCCCTAAAGATGGGGCTAATGATGATTTCTATATGAGTATGATTAAGGGATTATGCCTAGGAGATAGGAAATATTTTCCCTGGTATGAGGGTGACCCTGGATGGGACAGTGAATACATGAGACATGGAGGTGAAAACAAGATAGCCCCTCACTGGTACCCTGTTTCACAAGAGGGGAAAAGAATTAGAGGAATAAAAAGAAAACGAGGGAGACTGTTTTTAACAACTCCAAATCATTTCCCTCTCCTAATTACACCCCATACCTATTATACCCCAGCCTGTCCCCTAAAGATGATGATGATTTGGGTCCTATCCTTGCTGTAGTAGTTAGACCACCCCAGGGTCCCCAAGGTCCCCTAAGGGTGTCCAAACTAGGTATAAGAAAAAGATGGGATTAAGGGAATGTCAAGGGGACAAGTGAAGGTGATGAAGAAAAAGAGGAAGAAGAGAAAGAAATAGAGGCTAATTAAGGGGGGCTCCAAATTCTAGAACTAACCCCTCTGCATGTATGATGGAGTTGATGAGAATTATTTCTATACCATAAGCCCACTACACTTTCCATGAGAGTGGAATAGTATGATTGTGTTATGTTGTTTGCATGATGAGCCCTGTATTTTCATACTGGGACAAAAGTCACTTCATTAGTTGAAAAAAATCAAACACCATATTCTTTCTGCCCTGTGTGTTTGTTGCAGAGGATCCATACTGTAAATATAATTCTTGTTTATAAATTAGAGAGCAATATTTAAATTTTCAGTGGTCCAACACATGCTTTATTTTGTGCTGTAAGCTAACTTTTGCTTGCTACAGGTACTTGAAATGATCCAGTGCATCACCTGCTGCATATGATTTATGATTCTCTGTGCTTTAAGGAAACTAATAGGTCTCACATTATATGTGTTATGTTAAATTGTGAAAATCTACAAAATTGTTGTATGGGGATGCTGAGATTTTATTCCTTGTGACCACAACTGTAGACTCCCTGTGTGTTGGGTTTGAGGTTTGGTCAGGCATGTAGTCTGGATTAGAAAACCATGGACAAAGGTTTTTACCTGCGTTATTATGGCTATTAAGCATTCAATATTGATCGGTCAAACTTTTGCCTTGCCTTTTAACATGGAATAGTATTAAAAAAAAAGTTGAGTCTTTGAGAGTTCTGACAAATGCAGGTGATACCATGTCTGTGTAATCTGGTCCAAATGTTCTATAAGATTATAAGAGAGAAATTCTATTGACAGGGTATATATGTTGCAATTAGTTAAAGGGACACTCCAGGCACCCAGACCACTTCTGCCCATTGGAGTGGTCTGGGTGCCAACTCCCACTACCCTTAACCCTGCAAGTGTAATTCTTGCAGTTTTCATAAACTGCAATAATTACCTTGCAGGGTTAACTCCTCCTCTAGTGGCTGTCTACTGGACAGCCACTAGAGGGCACTTCCTGCTTCATAGCACAGGTTTTCACGCTGTCTGAGGACCTCCAGCGTTGCTCAATTCCCCATAGGAAAGCATTGAAAAGCATTTTCAATGCTTTCCTATGGAGATCTCTAATGCGCATGCCGGCTGACGTGATGAAGGGGAGGAGCGGAGGTAACCCAAAACCACCACTGAAGGACATCGGTGGGGGTCTCAGGTAAGTCACTGAAGGGGTTTTCACCCCTTCAGCAACTGGGGATGGGTGGTGGGAGGGAGAGGGGACCTGCAGTGCCAGGAAAACGGATTGTTTTCCTGGCACTGGAGAGTCCCTTTAATGCAAGTGTCATACAAATATCAATAAGTCAAGCGCGCTATATAAAGGTATCCCTTCTTTATAAACAATACTATAGTAGATTAATTAATAAAGTAATTAAGGAAATACATGTATACATAAGAAACCCTCAACTTAAGAAACCCTTAAATAAATCTGATACAAACTAAAATTGGTATACCTTTCAATAATATGTTCTGAATACAGCTGTTAAAAGTTTATTCTGTGTAAATGGTGACTGTTATAATGCATGTTTTGGATATTACATTTTGAAGTGTGCAGCTTAATTAACGAGTAGATTAATTGGTATTTTACTGTGTTGTTTTAAATTATATTTGAATCAATTTGTCTCAGTATTGACACAGATGGAAATGGCAGCGTAATGATCTATTAAATGACTGATTTATTGTTGAATACTAGCATTTTGTCCAAGAGCAGTGAGAGTTGGCGTAGTTTTAATAAAACTCGTAGAGGATTTGTAAGCTCCGGCTTATCTCCAAAACAAATTATTTCTGTTGCAATAGTGGACTTCTTGCCAAAATTCTACTTTCCTGTTCATTTGCCAAATTTCAACTTTAATGTTTTCTGATCTATCTTTAATGCTGATTGTCTGTTTCTGTTTTAAAGGGCTTCTTATACATAGGTATGAGAATGGGAATTTGGAAGTGTTAGTTTAAGACTAATCTATCACAAGCATAGGAACCTGCATTATGTCGAACTATGTTTCTTCTGAGGGACACAGAGTGTGACATTTATTTACTTATTTTGTTAATTTATTTAGGATTTATTATGGTTTAGTTGCTTGTCCATGAATATGCTTTTTGTTTTGGGATATCTGCTGGGTATCTATTATGTGAATCTGCTACGTTTGTTGTGTTCTGTTTTGTGAGATGATGTGTGATATTACAATGATTGCTGAGTATGAGTTCTATGGTTTGTAATGAATTGGTGTGTTATGTGTTAATGTCCATTGTGTATGAGTTTAAATATTAAAATAAAGAATATTTGCATGTCATTAACGCAAGCCTTTAGTGTTTTTTTTTTTACCACAGATTAAAATGCTGATCAGCCGACAAGAAAGTGGCACCTGGAAAAACATCTGCTTTTCAAATTGTGGATTCACGTTTCCATTGGCTCTCCCTCAGTACTATTAGGGGAGTATTTAGAGTTAACTACTTTTAAAGTGCATTGCAATATTTGTGTCAAAGAGAAAGATAAAAATTATTATGCTATATAAAAAAAAGAAAAGAAAAGAAAAAAAAATTATGGATGTATAGGATAGGTTTTTTCAAAATTAAGATTCATCTAGTAAGCCTCATTGATCATAGGGTAATGATGAAATGGTATTTTTAATAGAGATCAGACAATTTCCGATGAATATAAGTGAGGCAATTCTAATCTACTAATCTATATTTGTATTGGTAAATTGAAAGCATTTTGCAGACCCAGAAGAGAATAAATAATTAATAATTATAAAAGGAGCCAAATTATGGGAAGAGGTCACCCAATTAACTCGCTAAGGGGTTAAACTCATTTTTGATAAGCATATAAAATTTAGTTTTTGTGGTTATACTTTTGATCCTCAATTTGAACTATGTTCCAACCACATCCTTGCAGGTATAGGAAACAGCTGCAATATGCTTTTTTTTTTTTCATATTTGTTTTTTATTGAATTTTTGCATTGGAAAAAAGAAGAACAATGGGGATACAGAAAGAAAAGTGGGATTGGGGGTGCTTGTTTCCATGTTACACATCACAATTTACAAATCACAATAACACAGTCTCATATGCATTCGGTGCTAGACAGTTTATACAGTTTATGGTATGGATGAAGTGTGACATGCATTATTGTTCAGACATTAGTAAAATGGTATTGTTGGTTGGCCTTCCCTTTAATATCTGAAATATATGGTGTCTGAGAACTTTTCTAGTGTGCTTGGCTTTGTATGCGAGAGCCATGCACCTGTTGGAATTGTGGAATTGTGGTGGGATAGTAGGGGGTGGGGGGCGGGGGGAAACATAAAGATGTTCTAACTTGTTACTTAAGATGAACTCTTGATGAAATGTCTTAGGAAATATGCCTTATATGTAGAATAGCTAAGATAGAATGGGGTTATGTCCCTTGGTCCTGTAATTTCTGGGTATTGGTTGTGCGAGACTATGCATGTGCCCACTAGGTGGTATTTTTGAGGTTTTTTACTGCCGTGCAGGATGCGTGCCAGCTTACTCATCTTTTGTCATATTTTTCTATTTGACCATTTATTCTATACGCCATTAATTCATAATCTGCTATGGAGTCCAATCTGTTCCATACCTCAAAGGGGGAGGGAGGATGTTTCTTCTTCTACTGACTGGCTATGCTAGTTTATGCAGCTGTTAACAGGTTTATAAGGACATAGCAAGTAGTGTCTGATAGCAATTCTGGGGATAGACAAAGCAGATAGCAATCTGGTGTACTTGGAATTTTACGTTTCGTTATAAGTTCGATAGCTTCCCCTAGTATTGCCCAGAACCCTCTTAATAGGGGGCAGTCCCAGAAAATATGTTGCATGGTGCCCCTGTGCAAGTCACACCTCCAGCAGGTATGTGACACCGATGGATACATAGTCTCTAGTCTTGTGGGCACTAAGTACCACCTCATTACAATTTTGCAATATGCCTCCCAGTGTGATAAGTTATGGGATGCCCGTCTTGTCTGTATTGCTTGTAGCCAGGTTGGGGTGGGAATATTAACGCTAATGCAATATGCTTTTTAACATTTGCAAAGTCTTAGTGTTTTCAATATAATATGACAATGGAAAAGTTTTATAGTAAGATATTGATACTTTTTAAGTAAGTCTGAAGTAGAAGGTTCATGTTTTTAATATTTTATAAATAGTTTTGAGTGTTAATCCAAGAGTATTGAATTATTTGAGATAATTAAAGTAATTAATTGGGATTATCAAATCAAGGTTTAAGTTTAAGAACAGAATTTTATTGGGAATTATGCCCATATGTATATGCTAGTGTTTTAGTACTCATCCTACCCAACAAGCATTTATTTAAAGTGAGTGCCTCTCTCATCTGTACAAAGGCATTCCAAAGGGAAATTATGAAAAATTTCATAAAGGACAAATTTCATGAATTATAAGCAAAGCTGAGAGAAGTACATGTTACACAAGTTAAGGGTTTAAGTTTAGTCTCTACTTTAAGTTTAGCCTAGATAATTGATTAATTGATGTCGTATTGATCGTTGTATGATTATAGAGACCGTACTGGAGTATTTGTGCCGCCTGATATTTGGGACTACACATCAATCTCTCTGGCTGACCTGCCTACCTACCTATTTTACAATTAAATCAAACAATTAAGCAACTACATTTGTTGGGTCAAAATCCATGCGGGCCGAAGAAACTGAGATGCTTATTTATGAGGACATAAACTAACTTGGAAAGTCTTGAAGGTGTAGTGCTGTCTAATGCTGCTAGTTCTGTATTAACCCTTTCAACAATTGAGGTGTTGCACAGAGCATTGTGGTGAACATCCAGCAAACAAAAGAAGAATTAAGAACTATGTGGAAGCTGACATTGTCTTGTTGTCAGCCATATTGCTTCCCTTAGCTATCTTATGGAACAACGTTTATGATGTCTATGTTATGGAACAAAGTTTATGGTGTCTAAGATTCTTTATACTCCTTGAAAGACTTATTCTATTTTTCTGGACTATGCTGAACTATTGAACTATTTTGTTATTTTTATTTTTGTAGAGCTAGCCGGAGAGAGAGGAAGTGTTAGCTGACTCAGGCATGGATGTACTATGTGTGTCGTTGATGTATGTTGAGTGTGCCAAGGATGAATTCCCATGTATGGAGGAACTGAGTGTGGATATGACTGGACCGTTGGAATAGGGACATGATTAGGAGACATAGAATGCAAGGTCCTGGTTGGGATTATTGTTAGAATTGCAAGCTGATTATAAGTTATCTCATGATTTAATATGTAAGTGGGCCTTTTCAAACTAATCAAGAAGTGTTTCCTAATCCCTCCCGATACCCGAGCTATGTACTCACAGGTGCGGGTTTTATAAGTCACAAGTGGTGTCAATGTGAGGGGATGACATGTCTACACAGTCATGGCCCCCACTCAGGGTTTCCCCAGATGTGCTTTTTTCCTCAAATATGAGTTTTTGCCACTGTTTTTTTTTTTACCTGGCCCCAGATCAACGGGTGGACTGGTAATCCTAGACCCTGGTCCAAGGAGGGGGGATAGGTATTATTCCCACTTTGACTATATGCGTTTACGTTGTTAATAATGATAATAATAATAATATTCCCGTTGTAGGGAATAATACACTTTGCCTGTACTGACCCAAGACTCAAGCTACAGATGACATGATGTTCAGTCTGTTTAAAATTGGTTAACATGTCAGCTATTTGAAATATTTAACTTGTACGCTTAAGAGACGTATACAGCAGAATATTGAAAAAGCTGAAAATCGACAGCTCAAACTCATCTTAAAGGGAAAACCTGCAGCACAGAGCAAATGGGGGAATCGAGGTAAATAAATAACGAAAGTCCCACAGACAGTAATTGGCACGCCTGAATATACCTCCTTTTGTCTCTCTGCCGCAGGCCTCCCATGGATATTTTTCGTAAAGTAGATCATGATATGATCTAAGAGGGAATTGAAGGATAGAATATCCAGTTTACTATATTTTATTTTACTGGTTATATTAAAGGTTAATTTGAAACTTGAAATGGCTGCTTCATATTACGCAATGTTCTTATTATTGTCCAAATTTTTGGTATTTGTAACATCTGGTTTTAATCAAATATACTTGTGTTATTCAACATCGGATATAACAAGAAACAGATGCTTATATCTTGTGATAACCAACTGTTATGCAACTCTTATGCAATTGTCACACCCATATACTCATATCCCCCCCTCACCATGAAAGATATGTATAAATATAATTTGCATTCAATAAAAGGACGAATTGGTTTGGAAAACTACGTCTCTGTCTTCGTAACTGGTTCCTGGAATTTCGTAGAGGGAGGGGGTTGGTCTGCATCCATCAACCAGAGGGTCTTTGAGTGACAGGCAACATAGGGTTGTAGTCAATGAAGTATATTCAAAGCATGGGCTTGTCACCAGTGGGGTACCTCAGGGATGAGTACTTGGACCCATTCTCTTTAATGTTTTTATTAGTGATGTTGCAGAAGGTCTTGATGGTAAGGTATGTCTTTTTGCTGATGATACTAAGATATGTAACAGGGTTGATATTCTAGGAGGGATAAGCCAAATGGCAAATGATTTAGGTAAACTAGAAAAATGGTCAGAGTTGTGGCAACTGACATTTATTGTGGATAAGTGCAAGATAATGCATCTTGGACGTAAAAACCCAAGGGCAGAGTACAAAATATTTGATAGAGTCCTAACCTCAACATCTGAGGAAAGGGATTTAGGGGTGATTATTTCTGATGACTTAAAGGTAGCCAGACAATGTAATAGAGCAGCAGGAAATGCTAGCAGAATGCTTGGTTGTTTAGGGAGAGGTATTAGCTTGGAGGAAAGACGAGATAGGAGGTATACATAAAGGGAATCAACACAGTAAAGGAGGAGACTACCACAACAAGAGGACATAGTCTTAAAATAGAGGGGCAAAGGTTTAAAAATAATATCCAGAAGTATTACTTTACTGTGAGGGTAGTGGATGCATGGGATAGGCTTCCAGCTGAAGTGGTACAGGTTAACACAGTAAAGGAGTTGAAGCATGCGTGGGATATGCATAAGGCTATCCTAGCTATAAGATAAGGCCAGGGACTAATGAAAGTATTTTAAAAAATTGGGCAGACTAGATGGGCCGAATGGTTCGTATCTGCCGTCACATTCTATGTTTCTACGTTTCTCCATCTTGAAATGTCGGTAGACGACACATGCATTGAGGGCACACAGGTTGATAATGGGGCGGAAGTCCCCCGTCTTCTTTCATACAAGGAAGATATTTCTCAAGAAATGAGGAGGGCCTGTTGCCCTTTCCACTGCGCCTTTGTCCAGCAGGGATAGAATTTCTGAGTGGACCAGAAATTTATGCCCCTATTTATACATGACAAAACCTTACTGGCCTTAGCAACTGCAGATGGGCATTGCATATTGATGCCTAAGTTGTGGTCTATAATAATTCCCAAATCCTTCTTTTGTGCGGTTATCCCTAATTCACTACCATTTAGGGTGTAAGTTGCTTGTGCATTCTTGACCCCGAAGTGCATAACTTTGCATTTCTCTACATTAAATTTCATCTGCCATTTTAGTGTCCAGTCCCCCAATCTATCCAAATCCCTCTGCAAAGCAATATCCTGCTCACATTTTGTTACTTTACAAAGTTTTGTGTCATCTGCAAACACTGAAACATGGCTTCCAATGCCTGTTTCATGATCATTTATAAATATGTTAAATTGAAGCTGTCCCAAAACAGAACCCTGAGGGACACCACTTACCACTTTTGTCCAGCTTTTACAAATTTTGTCAAATTTACCATTAATGACAACTCGATGTACTCTATCCTTAACCAATTTTCTACCCAAGAATAAGAATATTCATCTAAATTAATTTATTTTAGTTTGAAGACTAACCTGTTATGAGGAACCGTATCAAATGCCTTAGCAAAATCCAAGTAGATCACCTCCACTGCAACACCCTGATCTATATTTCTACTTACTTTTTCGTAGAATGCAATTAGGTTAGTTTGACATTATTATTATTATTATATTTATACAGACATGTATTTGTAACCAGACAAGTTGGACACACAGGAACAGAGGGGTTGAGGGCCTGCTCAATGAGCTTATATGCTAGAGGGAGGGGGGTAAAATGACACAAAAAGGTAAGGATAGTATTAGACTAATGACAGTTGCAGAAGAGGAATCAGTCAGGAGCTATTAACAGTTTAATTGATACGCTTTTATGAAGAAGAGGGTTTTTAACGATTTTTTGAAGGAGTGGAGACTGGGTGAGCATCTAACGGAGGAGGGAAACGAGTTCCACAGGAATGGTGCAGCCCTCGAGAAGTCTTGAAGGCGAGCATCAGAGGTGGGAGTACGGACAGAAGATAGACGTAAGTCTTAAGCAGATCGTAAGGGCCTAGACGGGACATACTTGTGTATAAGGGAGGATAGATAGGTGGGAGCAGCATTATGTAGAGATTTGAAAGCAAGAACCAGAATTTTAAATTGACCTCTATATTTTATAGGAAGCCAATGTAGGGACTGACAGAAGGGTGATGCATGGGAGGTGTGGGTGGACAGGAAGATGAGCCTCGCCGCCGCATTCATTTTGGACTGTAACGGCGCTAGTTGGGAGCACGTAAGACCACTGAGAAGCGGATTACAGTAGTCAAGGCGAGAAAGGACAGTGGAATGGACCAACACCTTAGTCGCATCTGGCGTTAAGTAGGGGCGCATGCGCGCAATGTTTTTGAGATGGAAATGACAGGCGATTTGGCGATAGATTGAACATGAGGCTTGAAGAGGTTGGAGTCAAAGAGAACACCTAGGCAGCGAGCCTGCGTGGTGGAGCTGATGGTAGCACCGTTGACTTGGAGGGAGACAGACACGGGAGTAACAACACTTGAGGGAGGAAAGACCAGAATTTCAGTTTTGGTCAAATTTAGTTTAAGGAAGTGGGCAGCCATCCAGTTAGAAACAGCAGAGAGGCAGTCAGAGACACTAGTCAAGAGGGATGGGGAGAGATCAGGAGAGGACAGGTAGATTTGCGTGTCATCTGCATAGAAATGATATTGGAAGCCAAAGGAGCTAATGAGTTTACCAAGGGAGGCAGTATAGATGGAGAACAGTAGGGGACCAAGGACTGAACCTTGGGGGACACCAACAGGGAGGAGTTGGGGAGAAGAAGCAGAGCCAGAGAAAGAAACACTGAAAGAGCGCTGGGAGAGGTAGGAGGAGCACCAGGAGAGAGCACTATCTTGTAGACTGATATTGCGGAGGATGAGAAGAAGCTGTTGATGACCAACAGTGTCAAAAGCCACAGACAGGTCAAGGAGAATTAGGATAGAGTAGTGACCACAAAATTTTGCAGCGAGTAGATCATTGGATACTTTGGTCAGTGCCGTTTCCACAGAGTGCTTAGCGCGGAAACCAGACTGAAGCGGGTCTAGCAGAGAGTTGGACAATCTTGCATACACATTTTTTTCAAGGATCTTGGATGCAAAAGGCAGTAGCGAGATAGAACGATAGTTGGATGGGGAGTTAGGGTCAAGATTGGGCTTCTTTAGAAGAGGGGTAACAGTTGCATGTTTAAAGGGCAAAGGAAATATACCAGAGGAGAGAGAGAGATTGAGAATTTTAGTGAGAGGTGGAGAAAGAGAAAAAGACAGAGTATGGATGAGGTGCGAGGGAATTGGATCTAGGGAGCAGGTGGTGGGGCAGGAGGACTGGAGCAGAGCAGAAACCTCTTCCAATGTAGCGGGTGCGAATGAACATAGAACAGCAGAGGGAGTGAAGTTAGGGGAAGTATTGTAAGGGGAAGAAGAAAGATGAGATATCTCTTCTCTGATTGTAGAGATCTTGTCTGTGAAGTGAGTTGCAAAGTCTGAGGCGGTCAAGTTAGTAGGTGGAGGAGGAACAGCAGGGCGAAGAAGAGAGTTAAATGTGTGAAATAGTCGTTTGGGTTCGCGGGAGAGTGTGGTTATGAGTGTATTGAAGTAATTAACTTTTGCAGAGGAAAGAGCCAAGCTGTATGAGCTCAGCATAAATTTATAGTGGAGAAAGTCAGATGCACAGTGAGACTTTCTCCAACAGCGTTCAGCAGTTCTGGAGCATTTTTGGAGGTATCGAGTGAGCTTGGTGTGCCAGGGTTGTTGTTGGGGGGGCCTGCGGCATTTAAATGTACAAGGTGCCATGATGTCTAGTTGAGAGCAGAGGGTGGAATTGTAGAAGGAGGTTGCAGAACTAGGACAGGTGAGGTTTGAGATAGGTAAAAGGAGAGTTTGGAGATTAGTGGAGAAATGCTCTAGGTCAAGACATTGGAGGTTTTTGTGAGAGTGATGTTCAGATGGTGGTGTCAATTGGGTCTTGGGTATGCCAATGTCAAAAGTCAGCAGATGGTGGTCAGATAGAGGAAATGGAATATTGGAGAGATTAGAGGCAGTACAAAGGTTGGTGAAGGCAAGATCAAGAGTGTTTCCTGCTGTATGGGTTTCTAGATTGGACCATTGCGTAAGGCCGAAGGAGGAGGTTATAGAAAGCAGACGAGAGGCATCAGTGCAATTGGGGTTATTGATTGGGATATTGAAATCCCCAAGTATAAGGGAAGAGTGCTAGATGAAAGGAAGTGGGGAAGCCAGGAAGAAAAGTGCTCAATGAATAGTCTAGGATAACCGAGGGTGGGGGGGGGGGGGGAGGTGGTAGATGATAGCAATTCTTAAAGGAGTGGGTTTTTATTAGGCAGACAGTGTGAACTTCAAAAGAAGAAAAGGATAGGGCAGGGGGAGTTATGATTGGTTTAAAGGTACATTGAGGGGAGAGAAGGATGCCTACGCCGCCTCTTTTACAGTTGAGTCTGGGAGTGTGAGAGAATTTAAATTGACCTCTATATTTTATAGGAAGCCAATGTAGGGACTGACAGAAGGGTGAGGCATGGGAGGTGTGGGCGGACAGGAA